CGTCCTCTCTCTCACCTTAGCGAGTCGGAGTAACTTCTTCTCCCCGCCTTTGTTCCCTAGTTCTTCATACAAACGAGCGAAAGTTGCCATCTTTGCCTCCGTCACTGCCATCTTTGCCTCCTTCCTAGCTACCTTATATCTCGCAATGTTCGCTCTCTTCTCCTCCTCTCCAGTGCTCCCCACTAACCGCAGGTAAGCCACCTTCTTCGCTTCCACTTTACCTTGTACAACTGCATTCCACCACCAGTCTCCTTTGTGGCCACATGTGCGGCCTGAAGATTCCCCTAAAACCTCTCTCGCCGCCTTCCTTATATAGTCCGCCGTCGTCGACCACATAGTGTTTGCGTCCCCACTACTTCTCCAAGCTCCCATTGCCGCCAACCTTACTTCCAACTCCTGGGCTTTAACCTTAGTCAAGGCGCCCCACCTAATCCTCGGGCGGCCTCGTACTGACCTCTGTTTCCTTCTTATCATAATACTAACGTCCATCACCAAGAGCCTATGTTGCGTTGCAAGGGTCTCACCTGGGATAACTTTGCAATCCTCGCACAACCTTCTGTCGCATCTCCTAAGAAGGAGATAGTCAATTTGAGTCTTCGCCACCGAACTTTAATAAAGAAAGATTACACTGCGTAATAAAATGGTGATAAAAGAAATAAAAAAATGATAATAAGATTACACTTTGAGACTTAAAAAATTTTAATAAAGAAAGAAAAACTTGATTGGAATTTGGAAATACAGTTGAACGAGTGACATACAATGCGTTCCTTGCCATTGATGTTGGTCTCTTGGTGTGGTATTAATTTCAGTTCAAAATAATTATTGGTGTCATAGAATATCCACAAAATTTAGGTATGCAACTGAAAAAATTGGAATAGTTTATGAAGAAAATATGTATTATGCTAGAGAAGAAGTAAGAAATGGGAAGAGATGTTACGACTGTCGTTAGTATATTATTTTCATTATGAGTTCTTTGATAAGTACAAGACTTGAAATAGATCTCAGTATTATTTCATGATCCACATAATATGAATTTTAAAAGTTATTGGTAGTGTTAAAATATATTTTTCACATTTTTTTTATCTATACAGTGTAGAAATCCCTAAATAAAACTACAAAATACTTCCTCCGTCAAATTTTGTTTATTCTGATTATGAATATGAATACAAAATATTTAAATTTTTTAATAATATTTATATATTTAAAAATTATTAATAATAATTGACAATTCAAAATATTTATGGCAATCAAAAAATTATTCCCTCTGTTTCAATTTATATGAATTTATTTTCTTTTTAGTTTGTACAAAAAAAATGACTACTTTCTATATTTGAAAATAATTTACTTTTATACAATATTTTATAGTTATATAAAATATATATACCTTATTTTACGTGACAAGTTCAAAAGTTTTATTTTTTTTCATAAATTGAAATGGAGGGGTGTTTGTTTGACTGTTCTAAACTAACAATAAATTCCCAGCTTAAAAAGTGGGAGCTTTATGCTTTGCACTCATTTTACTATTCCAACCGCTGTGACAGAGCCGAAATCGGAGAGAAGCGATGGCGGGCAGTGGTGGAAACCCTAGTTCGGGCGAGAAGTCTCATCAAGCTCCAAAAATCCTATTAGCGAAGCCTGGACTTGTTAGCGCCGGCAAATTCAACCGCGGCGGCCCTGACGACCCTGATTCTAATGCTCACCGCCCACGCTTTGGTTCTCTTAATCTTCTCTCTGATACCTGGGATTTCCACAGTGATCGTTTTCTCCCGGTTAGTATTTCTTTTACTGCTAGTGGAAATTAATTTATCGGTACTATTTCTCTGAATTTACGACCTTTTTATTTTATTTTATATGATGGCAGTTTCTAACGGATAATACGGACTTTACAGTGGTGGGTGTGATTGGTCCTCCAGGGGTTGGGAAGTCCACTATAATGAACGAAATATATGGTTTTGATGCTACCTCCCCTGGTAACTAAAGCTGCACATGATTGTTATTCTTCTTTTCCTGGAATGATGCTTTTGTTTTTCTAATTATCACTACGCATGCACCTTTAGTGATATGAGAAAATGTAATTAAATAAACGGAAAAGGGTCAATTATACCCGTGTACTATCAAAAAAGGTTTAAATGTACCCCTCGTTATACTTTGAGTCCAAATATACCTATGTTGTTATACTATTAGTTCAAATATACACATTTCCCATTAAGTTTGTCCAAATTGGACATCCAATCTTGCGTGGCACTGACATTTGATAAGGTGTTATGCCACATGGCTTGCCACCTCAGCGACCCTAACACATTTTACCCCTCCCTTCTATTTTTTTCCACCACTAAAAATTCCTTTCCCTCCACCACTGTTGGCACCATTACTGCTATCATGAAAAATATTGTATTTCAAATTTTAGTTTATATATGGATTAGGGGCACTGAGGTGGCATCCACCTCATCAAATATCAGTGTCACATAGGATTGGATGTCTACCTTGGACAAACTTAACAGAAGAGGGGTATATTTGAATCAATAGTATTATGGCAGAGGTATATTTGGACTCAATGTATAACAAAGGGTATATTTAAACCTTTTCTACAGGGGTATATTTGGCCATTTGCCGTTAAATAAATTGTTTACACTGACAGCATAAAAAACAAACACATCACTTGCCAGTTTTTGCAGGTTACTAATCCGTGCTTCTTATAGAAAGTTACCTGTAATTGGTAATACAGTTAGTGTATAAAAGTTGAAGCTTTGAATAAGACAGTTCCAGAGGGTGAAGATTTTGAAATGTTGTATTCCAGGAGTGCTTCCTCCCTTTGCTATAGAAACAGAAGAAACAAGGGCTCTGTCGAAACATTGTACAGTTGGCATTGAACCGCGGGTTTCTGCTGAACGGATTATACTGCTTGATACTCAGGTTTCTTTCACTCATTAGTTGAAATTTTTTCTTCCGGACTTCAAACTCTTGCTTTTATTGCTTGTACAAGTGATAATGCCATCAGTAATTCGAAGCCTTCTAGTTCAACATGCTATATGGGTTCCTTTGTTGTCTATTCTTTCTAATACAAGTCCACGGTGGAATCCTTATCCAAATACCTTTGATATTTTGTTGATTTTGACAGCCTGTTTTTAGCCCTTCGGTTTTGGCTGAAATGATTAGACCAGATGGCTCATCCATCGTACCCATTATAAGCGGCGAATCTTTATCAGCTGAGCTAGCTCATGAACTGATGAGCATCCAGGTAAATTCCGAGTTAGATGATTGCATCAATTTCATCATTGATGATGCAGGAGCTGACTCTTTTATGTATTACCTAGTGGTTTTCACCCCGATCCCTCGCCCTCCCTTGCTTTAAGGTGTTGAAAGCCAAAATTGTAATATTACTTTGTTCGCTTGTGGTGCAAGGGATGTTTCTAGCTTGGTGTTCTGCTTGCATCCATTTGTCACATCATATTAGTGGTATCAGAAGGAGTCCATGATGCTAGCATGTGGCGACTCATGTCAACGGTATTTAATTCACCTTTAACTGCTTTAGAATGTTACTTGTTTGTCTACAAAATGGTTGTAACCTATCGTCATAGTTTCTTGGAGAAGATGGATGTAGCTGGTTGTCTGATAAAATTAGAAAATATGTTTATTTGCTGAAACTCTCGTCAGTACACAATTAACTCACTAAGTTTCAATTTTTATAGCTATTCACTACAATAAGTGTGTTGCAATTGGAAGTGCTCATTCAAAGACAGGCCGGCAATATGGAATTGTAAATTGACACATGAAACTTAACATATTTAAGTTATTTGGTTAGTCATGATTTTTTCTTTATATTAAAAAAAGTTAAATTTTATTATGTAGCTGTAGTAGTTGATTGGAAATGAAAAAAATATCTAGAATTATCTACCAATTTTATATTCAAGTAGCAGATTTAGCTGTTTATACTTATTACAAATAAAGTGTGGTTGATGTATCAAGTAATTCATTTTGCTCTACCAAACACATCTAGTGTCTATCATGTGATGCAGTTACCTCAAAGTTCTAAATTAGGTTATGTAATGACTCCTTTCTCGTGTACCTTTGTCAGAAGTGACAAGATGTAAAGCGCTAGCAGCCTTTGTTGCCAAAAAGAATTCGATTTTAAGAAAGCTTCTCATCTAAGCTCTGATTTTCTGCTGCTCTATGTTACAGTTCTATACTTAGCAAGACCCCGTTCTCCTTTATTTTCATGCCCTATTTGGAAATTGTTTTCGTAACTGTGTGGTTGAAATTTAACTTCAACTATCAACAACTTATGTGGCTGCTAAAGTTACTTGCCCAGCATATGGTAATGTAACTGTTTGATTCTTGAGTGATGTCTTGCTTCTAAGAAAACCTCCTAGCGTGTTTTTCCACTTGCATTTCCATGATATGGTACTGTTGTGCTCTTCTTCCAGGTTGATTTGCTAAAACATGGCATACCTGATCCATCATCTTTAACCCTTTCCCATCCTCAAAGCTCTGAGAAAGAAAGCAGAGAGAAAATTCTGGACAGTGGAGAAGAGTACATGGCTGATCCAGTTTTTGTGCATACAAAGTGCGTTAATCTAAACTTTTGATCCTGCTTTTAGCATGGACTGGTGAATTAGTTATGATGATGAAAGAGATGGGCCAAGATGTTCAAACTTCCATGTTTATGCTAAAGTTATCTTCAAAATGCTTATTTAATTTACATAGTAGAATCAGTTACCGCTCAAGCTTTGATCCATAAATCCAAACACCTAGAGGTTTCAACAATATCTAGACCTTCCTTTTTCTTATTTCTTACTAATTGACTGGTCAATATGAGCTAAAGGACTGATTTCCGGTTCCTTCCACAGTCTTTCACTGCTCATCCCCTCTGCAAAAGTCCGTTTTAAGGATTTAACTTCAAGTAATTTTCAATTTTTTGCTTTGTTTTTCAGTTTTTGGCTTTTATTTTGGAAGGAATTTTAACGGAAAAACTTAGATTAAGCTTATATAAAGGAGTGCTTAGCAGAGAAAGGGTCTTAATGGTGTTTTGGTCGGGAGAGGGGGAGCCTACCAGGTGACAAGATGATCATTGAGGTGGTTGAGGGAAGGACATTGAGGGAGGCTGTATGCTGGAGCAATCGAGTAGCAAATTAGTGGAGGCATATTTAGTTCAATGAGGAAGTGCAGAGAAATTAACAAGGTTAGAAAACAACGGGAAACTTACAAGTACAAGGGAAAAATAGGCCTTTAGTTTATTGTGGCAGGTCAATGACTGGTCGTTCACTGACAAATAAGAGAAAAGGGGTGTTTGTCTATACTCAAAAACTTGAGAGGTGTATTAGATTTTTACACAAAACATGAAAACTGATTCTTACGCAATCTTAGGCATTGTTCAAGTTATAGTGATTGTGATATTAAATTTAGATCTTTACAAGTTTGTAGCTTCTGGTTTACCTTGAATTTGGTTACATCACCATGTTGAACATAAACTGGTTAAAGAGAACGGGTATAATATCATATATAAAAGTTGAATTAATCGTTAGTTAATGTAGAAGGTACTTCAAGTGTTCTTCTCTGCTTGGACCTATGAATCAGTAGTTCTCGATGATGTATGGGCACATGGTTATAACTTATAACTGCACAATGCAAGTTTTTCTGTTCGTGCCGTAATTACATCAAATAAATCAGAGTTACCAAAAGATGCTCCTGCTTTGTGCGACCTTTTCCCAGTACCTGAAAGTTAATTGTTGTCTTCATTACCAGCTATTGGATAACTCGCTCTATATAGCTCTGTATAATGTTATAGGGTTGCACAGGAGCTGCTCTTGTTAATTTTTATTTCATTTCCCCTGGAACCAATACTCAGTTTGTTGTTCTGCCTTTTTTTAATTTTTAGACTACCCACTGAAGATCTAACACCATGTAACGTTGTTCAATTGAAGAAGGCACTCACACAAATCTTTTGCTCTTTATCTATTCTGAGATCAAAAAACCACACAACTGCCAAAGAGAGTCATGTTTCTGCTGTTCCTCTCAACTCACATAGTGCTGATCGAGAATCTGAATATTTGAAATTATTTCTACTGCCATCTAGAAATAAAGATGAATCCTTGAAGCCACAGTATGAAAGCCACATTTCAGCATTATGGAATTTGCGGGATCAGGTTCCACTCTCCCTCACCCTTCAACATCTGCAGTTTAGCACACACCCACACCTTTTTGTTTTTCTCAGATATTCCAGACGTAATGTTCTGTGAAAATACTTAGGGAACTAACTTCAAGTTATTGATTCCTCAGGTTTTGTCAATGAGAGGTCCATCTTTCTCAAGGACTGTGTCCGAGCGTGATTGGCTGAAAAATTCTGCCAAGATATGGGAAATTGTTAAGAATTCTCCCATTATGATGGACTACTGTAGAACTCTTCAAAGTTCAGGCATGGTTAGGAGGTAACAGCTATTAATCTTCCTATGTTCATCTAGGTTGATGGACGGTCTTTTTGTATTTTTTTTTTCCCTCGAGACTTTTGCGTACTCTTTTTTTCGAATCGTCTTTCCTTCTGCTTTATTTGGTGTAACTTTCTGTGAAACAAAGAGAAGTGAACCTTCTGAGTTGATTGAATAACGATCTACAAGAAGAGCTTTATATAGGAGCCTTAGGTTACTTACAAAGTTACAATATTGTAAGTGGTTATTCTCTACTTCTAACAAGTTAAGCATTCTATCACTATATACTAATTATCTTTTGGCATCTGGAGAACAGTACTAGTTTAAAATAGTCTTCAATATTCTCCTACTTAAATTCAGTGGATTTTGACATGTTCTGAATCTTGGACATAGAGGGTGTTTGGAACTGGCTTATAAAAAGTAGCTTTTAAGCTAAAAGCCAAAAGTCATAAGTTGGTAATACCCAACTTTGGCTTTTGGCTTGTTTTTGTACTTTTTATGTCACACAAACTAAAAAAGGCTTAAAAGCCAATAAGCACAATCCAAACACCCTCATAATAACTTTATTTGTTCTCATAATTTTTCAACAAGTCTCAAATTCATAGTGGTGAAGCACCCTTGAGTTTGCAAATTAAAACTGGGAAATCTTGTGTATTTGTTGTATGGATATTATCTCTTCATTGCCTTAGTGAGACACCGTGCAACCATACCATTGGTTGGCCAACTAACCCAAGTCAGTTAATAGCTCATTTATTTCATTTGGGTTGCTACAAGTAGTGTTTTAAAAGGCGTTTTCGGGGCGAGCCTTGGGGTGAGGCGCACAAAAAATGCCCCGAGGCAATCGTGTGGGGCAAAAGTCTCAAGAGGCGTATGCTCGGGCGTTAGGGCGACTCCCGAGCGTTTGAGGCGCGATTTTGTAGTGAGGTATAAGCCTAGAGATTTTTTCTCATTAAAAAAATTTGTTGAATAAGTCCTTCATATAATACCCAAATTCTGAAAAGTCAACTTGTAATTAATCAAAAGTTTTAAAGAGGAGTTGAAATGTATTAAAGTCAAAAGTCAAGACTTTTTTTATTGATTGAAGTCCTAATTTATGGTCTTTCCCAATTCTTTATCTTGTCCGCTAGTCTGCTAATATCTCCTAAAACAACGAATATTTAATTTTTTTTTTACAAATACAAAGAGAACTCCATTCTCCTTCATAGCAGCAAGTTCAAAGTTCAAATTGCAGGTTTGTCATCCTTTTTGTTCCTTCATGTAAAAAAACTTTATTCTTTTCTACTCAAGTTATTTGTACTTGTAAGTAGTGTATAATAAATTGTTTTGATTAGTTTTTTGTAGGGATGGAGTCTATCTATATATCTCTCTATCTATATCTATATCTATATATATATATATTAAAGCATGAATAAAATATTGGATTACAAAAATAACCTTTTAATATTAAGCATAATAGCTCATAATAAAAGGACATAACCGGAATTCTAGACATTAGCCTTGTAATCCTATTACTTTTAGGATATACTTCTTAAAAAATTCCTATTACTAATTAATTTTTTTTTAAAAAAACGTATTATATTATCCAAATCCATTTAAAAACAGGAGAGCCCATATATGATTATAAAAGCACGAATATAATATTAATAAATCAAAATAACTCTAAAATATTAAATAGAAGAACTCATAAGGAAATGACATAGCTGTAATAACTTATTTTTTGGACTACAATAACTTCTCTGTTTATTTTTTAATATATAAGATTTTAAAATTAATACAATCTTGTCTATTGAACTCTTATTAAAAATATGTGGAAGGTTTAATAAAATCAATTTCATAAGAATCCTCCATATTGGTAATACATTTACCACTCTATAATATTCAATACCAAAAAAAAATGTTAAATGGACTGCATGAGGTGATAAAATTGAGAAAACATTCCCACGATAATATATTATTATATTATATTTGAACTGCTTTCCTACTCAAATAATATTTTTTTATTATTAATTTTTCGTGTAATATAGAAAAATATACCCAATTATTAAAGAAGAACAAAGAATTTTTTTAAGAATATAAATGTTTGAGAAAAGAAAGAAAAAGGTTGGTAAGAGCCAATATCATTAATAATTTTGCAAACATAAATATCTAAAAGCGGAATGTTATCAATCTTTTTACTCTTTAAAAATAAAATTTATGGTGGATAAAATTATTATCACGATTAAATATTCAAAAAATGAGATGAACTAATATTAAGAATCTAAATCAACAAAAAATAAATTAAATTTTATGTTAAAACCAAATAATCAAATCTTTCCATTAATTATTTGGCAAAAGAATCCAATTCAAAAATATGAGTAAAATTATTTTTCAATTAAAAAAAATTCTTAGGGTACATAAATTTATTCCATAAAAAGAGTGTTAGAGATTTAAAAAAAATAGATCACAAAGTCAAAACGATTAGTATAATATTAAGAAGGCCATACAAGTGTTAGAGAAAGCATAACAAAGCTAAATCCTGAACAAGAATAAGCTTTCAAGACTATATTATAAAAAATCGACTCTGGTATAACGGGATTATCCTTAGTATATGCCTCCGGCGGAATCGAAAAAATATTTCTATGTCATGCATTACTTGCAAATATTCGATCAAGGGGCATGATATTGTTAGCAATAAGAACAACTGGTGTACCAACAACAATTTTATTATGATGTCGTACAACCTACTTTAGATTTGATATACTTCTTCAAATAATTTAAATAACCATCATAAATATATCAAATCAGAACAATAGTGCTAAATTTATAAGGAAATCAAAAGTGATAATATGGGATGAATCGTTTTTGGCTAAGCGTCAAACGATCGAAACAATCGACTAGAGTTTTAGAGATATGTTGGATATTGATGAACCATTTGGTGGAAAAATAATAGTTTGTGATGTGTTTTCTGTCAAGTACCATTAGTAGTTCCAAAATTGACCAAAGCAGAAACTGTAAAATCTAGCTTGCCAAAATTATACTTATGCTCTCAAATGAAAAATATTCAAATGACAAGAAATATAAAAGTAAGAACAGATCCAACATTCAGTGACTTCTTGCTTCGTGTCGAAAACAAATAAGAGCATCCAGTAAAAGATGATTTGGTTCTTCTAGAACACTTGATTATCAACCCCAATGGTAATAGTAGTGCATTTAATAATGAAAATCTATATTTTCATCATTAGATTAAAACGCAATTTGTGCAATTTACATGGTAGAAATTAAAGAGCTATCTTAGCTAGCAAAAACGAATATATTGATGAACTAAATAAAATGTTGATTGTTAAGTTTTATGGTAAAAACAAATATTTTTCAGTTTTGACTCAACTGAAGATGATACCAACAATAACTACTAAGAAGAATACTTAAATATTTTCATACCAAATGGCCTTCTACCGTACATGTTTGTTGTCAAGTTCATTATTTTTTACCTATGTTAGTATATATATNGAAAAATATGTATGTCATGTTACTGAAAACTTAGACTGAATAGCTTATGTAATAGTATACAGATGGTATATAAAAGTTTTGACAATAACGTCATACATCCAGAACTTATGATACTGGTCAGTATGCTTCTAAGTATGTGTTTATCCCCGAATTCAACTTTTGTCTTCCGAAACTAAAGAATATCCTTTTAAGTTTGTGTGAAAATAATTTTCAGTATGTTTATATTTTGTACTTATAATAAATAAAGCACAAGAACAAACATCCTAAATATTGAACTATATTTACCACAATATATTTTCTTATGAATAACTATATGTTGCACTTTCAAGAGAGATATCAATATCGATAACAAAAGTTCTGGTTATAGCAGAGTAATCAAAGCATTAGAAGGAAACATATACAAAAAAGACACTGTCTATATAGAAGTATTCGATAAGATACCATTACATTAAATACCTTTAAATTACAATACATAATTATTTACGTAATATGACTAAAATTGATCATTTATGTGAGTTATTATGATATCCTTTAATTTTGAATTCACGTATTATACTAATGTAATAATATTTTTCGGCATTTAGATGATTGTTGTGGTATTATATATAAAATTTCTCCCATTAATTAAATTTATTATTCCTTCATATAAATAAATATTTAAACATTATGTGTCTTTATTAACGTGCAACGCACGTTTATATATATATAAAATGTTAAAAAATAAATACTCATGGGGCTTACGCCCCATGCCTTGGGACTTACGCCTCACTGAGGCATATGTAAAATGTCTCGCCTTATGCCCGCGCCTTTTAAAACACTGACAACAAGACCTAATTATTGTTCCAATCACCTTTGGGAAAAAATAGCACTTTAGTCCCTGCATTATTGGTATATTATACTTTTAGTCCTTGTATTATCCGACTCACCATATTTGACCTTCAATTAAATCATGTGTGCGTTTTTTATTCTGTAATGGAGATGAGAACAATTAACAGATGATTAACTGCATTGAAGGACAATTCTGGAATTAAATGTTTCTTGTTTTAGCGATAAGAACTTCACGATAATCACAGTTTTTGCAATCACCTACTGTAGGTTTGCACAATATGAGACTTGAGAATCGGAATAATTGGTTTCCTTTAGGGCTTACCACCATGGAATCCGAAGCTCATGTGTCGAACTTGGATATGAAATTTCGCTTTAAGAGTGCTTCTGACGTTTTATACAATCTAGGTAAAGGTTGGACCAATTTCTTGTCAAATTTGACAAACATCATGAAACTGGCTCGAAACCCAGAACTTCGGAAAAGCGAATGTGATAATGCTGACCATCTTTGTTCGATTTTGTTCATGAAATCATGATATTACACCCAAATAGTGAGGAGATGAGAAAGAAATTACAACAGAAAGCTAAGAAAGGAATGACAAATTATTACTTAAATAAAAAAAAGAGAATGAGAGACAAACTCAGAAGACGAGGTGAGAGGAATAGAACATTATTCGGATGTCTATTCTCAGTAGTCAGTAAAACCAATCTGCGTTCAGCGGATTCAATCCGCGACATAATTCGCAGTCAGCAAAACTATTCTGCGATTAGTAAATTATTCTGCGGTCAGCATAAAGTCTTAGCAAAATTCTGAATTATTTTTCACACTTTATGTTCTAACTCCTGACCCTTTTGCAGTCCCTAAAACATTCTACAGTCAGCAAAATCTTAAAAAAGTAGTTTTTTTCTCACTTTTGGCAATTCTTGAAACTTTTTCTCCAAATTACTAAAGACACAAAATAACATAATATGTGTGTAAAGGACATTATTAAA